TGTTCTCTCTGCCAAAACCCTTCATCTCTGAAGCATGTTTTATTAGATTGTGCTGGTTTTAACCTAATATAATTTGTTATAAAAAAATGTCTTCATGAAAATAGCCACAGAAGCTGGCATGGCGTTAAACGCAAGCCTTCATCTCTGAAGCATGTTTTATTAGATTGTGCTGGTTTTAACCTAATATAATTTGTTATAAAAAAAATGTCTTCATGAAAATAGCCACAGAAGCTGGCATGGCGTTAAACGCAAACAAACAACCAAACAAACTTCAGAATCAGGTTTAGTACTTGATGTGAGATAATTATTGCATTCCTTATGCAAAGGCAACAAAGGGATAGGTGGTTATACTCAGTGGTTATACAGAGTCTTCAGAGAAACAGAGAAAGTCTTCGGTTCAGAGAAACTGAACCGAACTGCTGTAATCCTGCAGATTTTTGGTTGCCCCAGGATGAGATTTTCAGATATCCCCATGAAACTTGCCAGCCTCCTACAGCACCCTGACCCCATCGTCATCAATCATATCATCAGGTGTGTGTTTGTGGTTCCTGTTCTTAATGTTCTCTTTTGTTTCCATGCTGTTTTGAAAGATTCTTTTAATACAAAATAGCTAAATATTTACCCTACCAGTCCAATGTTCAGTAACACTAATGCTTCTGAATATAGTTTGCACCTGTATATGAATTTCTTATCAAAAGTAAAATTGTATCTATTTTAAATGGGTGAATTTACCTGAATCGGGAGGGAAAAGCAACTTTTGTCCAGCATACATATGAACTTTTCCTGTTGGAAAACTTTGTAAGAAATGCTATAGAAAAAAGTTTTTATTTGTTTAACAATTTTGGTATACAACTGTCATATAATTCTCATACCTTCATCTCATAGTTTTAATGACTATTCTAAAATGTGTAAAATTGTAAAGTATAGATTTGTAGAGTGATCTCAATGTTGTTGTTTTTTTTTTTGTTCTGCTTTATTGCTGTATCATTTTGTCAGTGTGGATCCCAATGATCAGAAGAAGACTGCATGCTTTGATATCGATGTTGAGGTGGACGACCCTCTGAAGGCTCAGATGACCAGCTTCCTGTCATCCACAACCAGTCAACAGGAGATCACTGCCCTGGAGATGAAGGTGTGTGTGTGCAGGGACATAAAAGACACCTCATGTCAATTATTTTCCATCCATTCTGAAGTTACTTGCATATAGTTTTTAACCTAACTTTTTCATTCTCCATAAGATCCATGAGACTATTGAATCCATCAACCAGTTGAAAACCCAGAGAGACTTCATGCTCCGCTTCAGTAACTACCCACAGGATTTCATCCAGGACTGGCTCAAGTCTCAGAGCCGAGACCTCAAAGTACTTTCAGTTTCCCTCATTGGATTTCCTTAAGGCTTCTTTTATTTGCCATCCGCCATTCATGGATGTTTTGTCTTGGTTTATGCAGTTAATGACAGACACTGTGGGAAATCCAGAGGAGGAGAGAAGAACCGATTTTTACCACTCGCCCTGGGTCAAAGAAGCTGTTGGACGCTATATATTTTCAAAGGTGAGCACTTGGTATTTCTTTCCATTACAAGACTCATCAGTGGTCAGTTGCATAACCTGCTTAGACTAGTCTTAAAAAGTTGGTCATAATTTTTTCAAGTCGGTTACAAATAGGTAGATTGGTCTAATGTGACTGATTACCCCTTGGTTAACTGCTAGTTACATTCTTAACATAGTTGCTGTGTTTATGCAACTGCTATAGCATCTATAATAGTGCAATGTTTTGATTTTCAGGTCCAGCAGAGGAGACAGGAATTGGAACAGGTACTGGGAATCCGACTCACTTAAGAGGATTCAGACTTCAAATCCACAGTCACCCGAGGAATTGGCTCAACATATACAGATGAGAATGAAGCTTTCTGTTTGAAAACCAGTGGAGGAACTTCATGTAGAAGTTTGGGTGCTGGGATTGTTTAGTATATTGCTTGTCAGTTTTAGCACTTGTACTATTACACACATCTGGCCATATAAATTTCAAATGGTTTTACAGTAACAGGAACTTCAGTTACGTATCTTTCTCTTTGCATTCATTTTCTGACCTTCTCTTATATAATCTGAAAATGAGGCATCCAGTTCATGATTCAGTTTGTTGACATACTCGTTTTTGCTATTATTACATCTTTTTGTATATTTTACAGTAAGATATACAGTACTGTAGCTTGTTGGCTAAAACCCCTATAGGTAACTGATGCAACAAAGCTTCTTTTTGTTCATAAATTTTGTGTTTATGGTAGGAATTGCCAAACTCAATCAACATTTGCCATTTAGTTTTTGAAAGGTTTCCAATTCTGACTGCAAAGGCTATTTTTACAATTGAATTGCACAGTTTGAGTTAAGATGCAGTTACTTATAATTAAGTAGACTAGTAATGAAAATGCAATGTTTTTCTTCAATTTTCAATATTGTGGAGTTTTCCATTTGGTCTCTCAGGAAAATATGTGCTGCACTGCATTCAAGAGCCATGTTTTTGTATTTCCACCCCAGCGGGAAATCCAGCACATTTGGTTGTCCAGCTGTTTTAGTTCAGTGTACCAGACTTTCTGTCTTCTTCTTGTTGGTGTGTTTACAGATTATTTTTTTTTAGCGTTGAAAGTCCGCTCCAGTGGCAGAGACCATAGAGCAGTGACCGAATTTGTGAAAGGTAGTGCTTCAGGTGTGCAAACCATCAGCATATTCTTATTTTTTATAAGTATTCAAGCCATATTTGTAACTTTCTAATAAGTAGTTCAGTTCAGTGTATACTTCTACATTCCAAACAGCTAATGGAAAGTTTCTGTTTAAGTTGGATTTAATATGTGGTCATTCATATTGGTGGAGTCATTTGTGTTTTTAAGTATCAATGACAGCAAGTTAAATTTTCCATTAAGGAATATAGCAGGTTCAAGTTAAGCCCTATAATTTGTGACATGCTGCTGATTACCACAGAAAATACTTTCAACTTTCAGTTCATAAAGTGGTCAAAAACAAAATGTGTTGATATTTATGTGCTTAGAAATGCATTTAAAAGTTAGAATTTCGTTTTAAGGAACGGGTTGAAATGATTTCGTGTTAATCGACAGCATGTCACATATGTTGTCCATAGAGCTTAACTCTGAATGTTCCTCATTTTGTTTAAAGCTGAATTACTCAGACAGTATTAATGCTGATCTGAAATGCAACAAGCTCTTGTTCCTTTGATTTTTGATTGAGCTTTTTTGTGTAAATGCATTTAAGTTCTTACAACTTCATATTTTTGTATCAATCAAGTGCTTACCTTTGTTTTTTTTTACTGGGAAATCAAAGTATTCAAAGCAATAAAGTTTCCATAAAGGGGAATTCACATGTGAATGTATTTTTTGATATAACATAGCATATTTTTTATTATATCTAATGTTCTGAAAGACTGTTAACTTAAAGGAATTTTAAATGTTATCATCAGATAAAAAATTTAATTCAAAAGTAAGAAAACCAGGTGTATTTCTGTTTACTAGAAGGTAGACCATTTGCTAAAGCCAAACACTGATCATTTTGATGCATGTAGTGTCTGGTTAATCTGGTAATACCTGTCTCCATTAATACTTCACCTGTTCTACAGATTTGGAGTGGTGCATTTTAGAACTGTTTGGTTGGGGACTCTCATAGTTACATCCTGTAACACAAAACGAATGTGGGAGACTTGAGATGGCTGGACTTCTGCAGACAGATTGCATAAAAAAAATAAGTTTGAAGAGTCATTGTTGGTCTGTTTGTTAAAGCTATTACAATGTAAACTGTGTAATGGGGGTTCAAGTCTTGCCTCATACTATGGCAAGCTGTTTTAACATTTAATCCTTAAAACTTACTAGTATCTATTTTCATGCTACTGGTACTTATTTTTTTAGCTAATAACATCTTTTCCATTAAATACTGGTGCTACTGGTACTTATTCTTTAGGTATTTTTTTAAAAAGGTACTAGTACTTCATTAGATACTAGTACTTATTTCAATAGTGACTTCTATTGTTATACTGGCAACACATTTCAAATTTTTACCATTGATTTCTATGGGGATCTGTCATTCAGGTATCAACTATTCAGTTCTGACTGGTATTTATCGCCACTGGATCCTCAAACTGTTGGCGAAATCATGTAACTTTGCCCCACCTCCATTCAGATTGATAAGTCGTGCACAGTCTGGAGACAGTGAAGGTGATTTCACGAAGTACAACATGTTCCTTTAAAGGCTATGGTTTTTTTCTGTGTTTGAAGAGCAGAGAAGAGCATTTGCTGTTTAGTTGTAGCCAATGTACTTTTGTACGTTTTAAATATCCTGTACATATAGTGCTTCATCATTTAATATCACGAGATTTGGGCCAAGTGTATTAAACAACAAGAAAGACTAAGTGTCCATATAGCTACAATAAAAATTATAACCTGTAATTTGATGGAAGCATAATGCGATGCACTTACTGCCTCAACGCTGATTACGTTCAGTAGACAGCACTAGCATGCTGAACGTAAACAACACTCATTACATTGATTACGTTCTACTAGTTTTATATATATATATATATGTGTGTGTGTGTGTGTGTGTGTGT